TCGTGTGCATCACATGGTGCAGGCGGCCTGCCTTGCCTCTCTCAAGTACGGAAGTACTGTGTATGGAACAAATAACTCGGATTTACGTGTGGCCCGTGCGTTACAGGCGCATGTGCAAGTACAAAGCTTGTCTGGCCGCAGCGTAACTCTGTTGCTCATGCTAGCCGAGGCGCCAAAATGCGACCCTTCTTATCGTCTCAACATCGACCCGCTTTGTATGTATGCCACCGCTGTTTGGGACGTTCTCTTGCCGCATAGGCTGCTCGAGCAAGGTCTGGTTACTGCTGTACATCGTCTGCAGCACAGCGGCAACCCATGGGCGAGCGTCAGAGGTCCCTTCTCTGCTTGTGCCGCCACCGCTCTTCGGCTCGGTCTTGTCATCCAGGGCTTTGTTTGGCGGCATGCCGTGCTTGGAGAGATGTCGGTGCTTGATTTTGGACCTCGCTCGGTTGCCACGTGGTTGACGCGTGTGGTTGATTTCTGGCTGTGGGCCAAGGTCTCGGTGCGAGAGGCTGTGCCAGAATTAATTCAAGGATGTAACAGGAACCCGCTTGTGGCGCTTGTGAATGGCTCCACACTTCTCCCACTTGAGCGTGGCTATATCAAGTCTGTTGTCTCTGGAGGTCAGTGGCCTCAGCACAGGCAATGGGAGTGTGGGCTTGCTACCTCGGCCGAGTGTAGAGCGTGCATGAGTGCTCCGTGCACGTTGGCGCACAGACACCTCTCGTGTGCAGCACATGAGCAGAGCATGGGTGCCGCGCAGGTTCCAGTGTATCTTAGCTCGCTTGCTCGTGCTGCTGCTCACCCTCTCCCTCGCCTCTTTGCCGAGAGGCTGCTTGTGCCTGATGCGCCCCTCCCCGCCTCCTCCACTGTCCCAGATCGGTGGTTTTCGGGTGGACCCGCAGAGATGGGTGGCCACGTCTTCTTGGGCGGCAGCTGGATGGACCAGCACCTGCCCGCCCAGGCGCAGACGGCAGGATGGGCCATTGTCTCCGTCTGTCGTCGTCGCCACAGGGTGCTTTCAGTGATGTGTGGCGTTCCCAGCCAGATCGTCAAAGATATAGATGCTGCGGAGCTCACTGCGTTGTTGAGAGGTCTCCAGCATGGCGCTCCTGGCACCTGTTTTTACACTGATTCTGATTTTGTTTATTCTGGGGTCATGGTTCGGGGAGAGCGGGCCTGCTGCTCCAGCAAAAGCGCCTGGTCCGAGCTGTGGCGAATGGTGTGGGCTCGAATTCGTGACTGGGGTGGGGTTTCCGCTTTTACCTTGGTGAAAGTGCGGGCCCACACCACTCGCGCCAATGTAGTTAGTGAGTCGGCCTCTCCAGCCATGCGGAGTCGGCTCATGTTTCTCAAGCTTGGGAACGATGAAGCCGACTCCTGGGCGAAGTGGTCAGCCGATAGAGTTCGCATCCCTCAGGAGCTTCGGGACACCCGTAAGAGGAAGGCCCAAGTACTGAAGGACTATGCAATCTGGTGTGCTCGTGTTGGCTCTCTGCTAGCCGATCTTGATTCTCTCCATGTGCCGCCCCGCCTGCGAGTGCCGAAGGTTCGTGGTCCCGTTGTTGTTGTGGATCCCCCTCCTCCCACTCGCATTCCTCGAGCTCTGGCCAAGGCTGATGCAGCTGCGGTCAGAGTTGCGCTGGCGGGAGTGTGTCGGCATGTGGTGCATCCGTTCAAGCTCGCCAGTGGGCCCTGGTGTGCCGTCTGTGCTGTTTGTGGACATGGCGGAGCCACGATTTCTGCTAATCTTAGCTCGGAGTGTCCAGGCAGGCCGCCCCCTGGGTCCCATGGAGCCCGTGTTTTGCTAAATCTTGGCCGTGACCCAGCACGGTATTCATATAACAAGAAATGGCATTTTCTTGTTCAGCCGTTCAGAACGGGTGAGCTGGTCAGAGCTGGTGAGACCTCGTCTGCCACCCTGTCATAACCCGTTCGGTTTCTTTCAGCCTCGTGTCACGAGGTGTCGCTGGGCGGTGGCGCAAGCGGCAACCCGATCAAAGGGGTGCAGCGCCGTCCGTTCCAGCTGTCGTGCGTGCAGGCAGACTCATGCTTGCGCCAGGCTGTGCCCAGGAGGAGGAGGGGGGGGGGGAGGCAGGAGGAGGAGGAGGAGGAGGAGGAGGAGAGGAGAGGAGGAGGAGGAGGAGGAGGAGGGGGAGGGGGAGGAGGAGGGGAGGAGGAGAGGAGGAGGGAGGAGGAGGAGAGAGGGAGGAGGAGGAGGAGGAGGAGGAGGAGGAGGAGGAGGGGAGCAGGAGGAGGCGGAGAAGAAACAGGACAAGGAAGAGAAGCAGGAGGAGGAGGACCAGCAGCGGGAAGAGCATGAGGAGCGGGAAGATGGGGAGAAGGAAGAGGAGGAAGAGGAGGAGGAGGCGGAGGAGCAGGAGGAGGAGGAGGAGGAGGAGGCGGAGGAAGAGGAAGAAGTGGCCCAACAACTGGCCCGCCCGCGGCCCCGCCAGCTGGCCCGCCGGAAACGGCGGTCGTCTGGGGCGGCCACCCGCGCGCGCGGAAGGGGGGCGGCCGCCCGAGGGGGGCTCGCAGGGCCTCGCCTTTGAACCGCGAGCAGCCCGACGAGACGGCCCCACAGAAAGGCGGGGAAGGGCGAGAGCGTCGAAACGCGCGAACTCGCCCCGCTCCGCGTCGCCGAACCAAGCTGGAGGGGCTCGAGAGGGGGGCCGAACGGGGCGAGTCCCCGCGGGATCGTCGGCGCGCACATCCCACCCACGTGCAAGCCTCAACCTGTGACGCAAGGCAGTGTAGTCTGCAAGACATGCGTCAAGCCAGGGGAGCTGCCGCGCCCGCGGGCTGCAGCTCTCAGACTTTAGAGTTCAGGAGAACGCAGGCCCGAGAGTCAGGCATCCTGTTGCAACAGTACTTGCATAAACTCTTAAACACGGTGGTCTCGAGGAGGTCAATATGTCTAAGATGCGAAACAACCATGCACACGCCGAGCGCAAGCGGAGAGCCTCCGAGAGCACTGAAACCCAGTGGGATCGACGAAGGACTGGAGAGAAGGCGGCCCCAAGTCGCGGTGCAATAGGGCGAGCTCAGGGCCTAATAATAAAAAACCAAAAACAAAAAAAAACAAAAAACAAAAAAAAAAAAAAAAAAAAAAAAACGTGGCTCAGGGCCCGAAGGGGGCGCCGCTCGCGGAGCCGAGCGCGACAGCCTCCGCCGCCACAACTCCGCGGACCACTGTGGGCGAATCGTGGCTCGGACGACGGCCCCTGGCCGAGGGGGGCACCCGCGCCCAGCACCTCGTGGCACTGGGCCGCCCGAAGGTCGGCCATGGCCGTGAATGCCAGGAAGGTGCAGGCCAAGAGCTGGCCCAGCACGGATGGAGGCAGTTCGCATTCCGCGCCGTCGTCTGACGCAATCCGAGAGAGGAAGGCGTAGACGTGCGCGAAAAGAGGCGGCATCGGGTGGCGGAATAAAAAAGACTTGCACCCAGCAGCAGGCGAGGGAAGCCAGCGCGGTGCGAGTCGAAGAGCCGAAGCAAACTTGGATCTGCGTCAGCCTACAAAGCGTCACCGCGCGGACAAGCGGAGCGCAGACAATGCCGATTCACCCCGGACCTCAGCGCCCACGACATCCTGATGGGTCTCACTGCGGGCGCGCTTCCCAGGGTGTCGCACAAACCCGAGCCTGGGAAAACCGCGGTCGCAGGAAGCGAAAACCTCACGATCTCGACGGCTGGGATCGTCTGGGCGCGGGGCTGCGCCTCGCCACGAGAGCTTCTGGAAACCCGCATGGTCGTGAACGTTGAGCATGTCGACGACATCCCCTCTAGGGAAAGGGGGAACGGCGCACCGCTGGCTCGTGATGTCGGAGGGCCCCGAAACTGGGTGGAATCCCCCCCTGGGCTGCGTTGGCTACCTCCACGGCCATGTCGTCGCCCATGGCTATCGCGTCGCGGCAAGGCGCAAGGACCACGCCGGCCAGCTCGGGGCGCCAGGCCCCGTAAGGATCTGAAAAAAAAGGCCCCCGGGAGGCCCGACCCGCAACGCACTGCGGCGCGCGCGGGCACGCGGGACTCGACAGTTGTAGTGCAATCTCCTCAGATCGTCGCAGGAGATGACTGGCCATTCCACGGGGCTGAGGCCGAGTCGACACAGCAGAAGCCCTTGGCCCAGCCGTGGAGTGCTCCAGGAACTCGACAAGCACCGACTGTGGACCGCTGCAAGATCGAAGAACAGACGATCGAAGTCGCTGCTCTTCGGGGCGCGGAAGGCCCCGCGCGCCTCTGCCCGTCGGGTCCGAAGCTAGGGCAAGGTACAAGGAGCCGCCGGCGTCCCGCTCGCGGAGCGGGGCCCAGAAGCTCCGCGCGGCCCCATGTGGACCCGTGCCCCCCATTGGCCCGCAGGCCGTTCTCTCCACCGGAGCCGGAGTCGAGAGAAGCCTGACGCACGAGAGGATCGGACTCAAGGGGGAGAGGACAAACTCAGGCGAGTAATCCCGCTTCATGCGGGACGCCCTGACCTTCGGGTCGACGCGGGCGGAGCTCCGCGCCGCCGCGGCGGCAAGCGACCCCGGCGCCGGGGCGCGCGGGGAAAGGGCGCTGTCGCATGGGTGCCAGGACGGCGGAGGAGGAGGTAAATGAGGCCTCGAGAGCTGCGGCATGTGTCGCCAGGCCATGGGACGAAACCTCGGTGGCTTCGCACTTAGCAAGAGCTCGGCCCAAGCCGCTCTTGCCGCCAAGGGCGAACTGCAATCCGGCACGGCCGCTCGATGCGGAGGAGGAGGAGGAGGAGGAGGAGGAGACAGGAGGAGGAGGAGGAAGGAGGAAGAGCAGGAGGAAGAGCAGGAGGAGGAGGAGAAGGAGGAGGCGGAGGAGGAGGAGGAGGAGGAGGAGGAGGAGGGGGACGAGGAAAAGGAGGAGGAGGAGGAGGAGGAGGAGGAACGCGGCAGCGGTAGCGGTAATCATGGGTACCTGCTCCCTCCTCCGAGGCCAGGGGCCTCCCCCCCGTCGCGAACCCGCACTTTTAGGAGCGGCCGCCGCGCACCACCAGCCGGTCCAGGTCGTCCCTGCGCTGCACCTCGATGCCGAGGCCGCCTCCGCAGGCGGCTGGTGGGGCAGCAGGCAGGTCCAAGGGCAGGTGTTCCTCCTTCCCCCCTGGCCTCTTCCTCCTCCTCCTCCTCCTTCTGCTCCTCCTCCTCCTCCTCCTCCTCCTCTTCATCCTCTTCCTCTTCCTCCTCCTCCTCCTCCTCCTCCTTCTCCTCCTTCTCTTTCTCCTCCTCCCACCCCTCCCACTTCTCCAGGCGTTTTCTTTTGGACGCCCGGAACGCGGGTACTGAAGAAATGGGCACGATGCCCAACAACACACGCTGTCCCAAACCAACCGCGGCCGCTGCTGGGCAGGCGGCGTTCTGTCTCAAGCGGACACAGGCCGCGGCAGCGCGGACAGCGAGCCCTGTCCAAAATGAACAGCAACTGCTGCTGGTCACTGTACCCATACTTTCCGTACCCATTCCGTCTGTGCCGATTTCCTACGCGGCGTTTCAACACTGGGCTTCTCCGGTCGCGGCGGCGGGGCCCCTCCTCCCCGCACCGCCTCCCCCGTGCGCGGCAGAGCGGCAGCGCAGCGCTGGATACGTCGCCGGGCGTGTGTGGGGAGCGGGCCCAGCGCTGACCCAAGGCATCCGCGCCGCCATCCTGTTATTCCAGCACCGATGCTGAATGCAACATCCCAGGAGTTGCATCCTTACCCCCCAACAAAGGGGCCAGATGGCTGGGTCGAGGATTATCTCTCTCGGCGGCGCACACCCTGGAAAGGGCACCCCTGGCGATCCTGTCGGCGTGTGCGAGGGGGAGCCCTGGGGTCGTCCTGGGAGGCGCTTTTCCACTAGAGATTCTCCCCGCTTCCCTGCAGCCACCCGGGGATGTCCGGCATCGCCAGCCCGAGGCGAATCGACCCGGGTCGCAGTCGAATCGACGCGGAGCCCCTTCCCTTGGACCCCTTCCCCGCGCAGGGAAGGGGGGTGCGCACTGGCCCTCCCCGCCTCTGGAAAGACTCGGGCGATCTTGGGGCCAGGTGGGCTATCTTTGGACCACCTCGCAAGACGGAGCCAGGACGAGGATAATATCGGGCACGGGCAAATCAGTTGGCTCTGAGATCCGGCGGCTCTGGAGGATGTGTCGGGCACCGTGGCCTGCTCAGATCGTTCAGGACTGCTCTGGGAGCCTTCCAGACCGCTCTGGGAGCTTTCCGGACCGCTCTGGGAGCGTTCAAGAATGCTCTGGAATGCATTTATCTCGTCCTAACTCCGTCCGAAATTAGGCTATCTTTGGGCCACCTAGGCCCGCTAGAACACTCTCGGGGCAAACCTCGCCACTCTTGAGAGTCTCGCGGACCGTCTTGGAGTCCGGGGGCGGACCAAGAGGCCAACACCGGCTGACTTCCAAAAGTCTTTTGTTTGTATTAGTTTGGCATTCCCCCGAATCGGTCGCAAGAGCGTCCACGACGACCTTCCCAAGATGTCCAGCCCAAGATGGCCCAATAGGCCCCGCAGAGGGCCTCAAGAGGTCTACAAGACTGCCAGAAGATGGGGCGAAAAATAACACTAGTGTCACCCCACCGAACGCCATCCCCTCCAACATCACGCCAAGACCCAGGCAAGGCCCACAAGAGGCCATAAGACGACCCAAAGTGGGCCACAGAAGCCTCCCAGAAGCCACCACGGCCTCTGGATCACATCCCAGGCGCAGTCGCGGGATGAGCCGAGGATCATTAGATTGCGTTTGCTATGACGCGTCTTTCGTCGGGAACGTTTCTGATTTCGCCCGCCCTCGTATTAGAGCCGCCACTGCCCCTGCCAGCGTTCGGTGGCAACTCATGGAAGCCTCCCGTACCATCTTGTCGGCTCTTGCGAATCGACGCTAATCGATGCTAAATCGACGCTAATCGACGCAAAATCGAAGCTGATCGACGCCAACCGAAGCTAAATCGGCGCTATCATCCACTCCCAGACGCTAATCGACGCAAATCGACGGTACCGAGCTAACGAATCTGGAGCAACGCCGACTCCTCGGTGCTGGCCCGAAGAACGGCGCAGGAATGCAGGCCCCTCCCCGAGCCAGGATTGTTACTCACTCCAGCGTGTTGACTGCACGCCTCCAGCTGGGCTCGCTCAGCCCGAGGCGTGGGCGGGTTGGTCGTCGGGGCAGGGGGGGGGGGCGGGCGGGACAGAGGAGAGCTCATGGCGGACAACGGGGGACGTGGGAAGAAGAGGGAGAGGGGCAGAGAGGCAAATATGAGGATGTGGACGGCGAGGGAGGCGTGATAGGGGGTGGGCAGGGCTGCGGCTCCTCCTCCTCCTCCTCCTCCTCCTCCTCCTCCTCCTCCTCCAAGTCCTCCTTCTCCTCCTCCTTCTCCTCCTACTCCTCCTCCTCCTCCTCCTCGTTCTCCTCCTCCTCCTCGCTCTCCTCCTCCTCCTCCTCCTCCTCGTCCTGGCTCTCGTCCATCTCCTCCGCCTCCGGCTCAATGCTCCGTCGCGGGGCCTCGGCGCGGCCACTCTAATTAGCTTGCCTCGGGGCCGCGCGGGCCCCCTGTGCGTGCTCTATCATCAGGGGCCCTCTCGTGGCCACTCGCGGCCACACTGGAGCCCCTCCGGGCCCTCCTGGATCTTCTTTAGAGGGAAAAGAACTATGCACATGCACCGATTCTGGCCAGGCCCATCCTGAGCCCAGGATCGGTGCATACGCCCTCCTACCTTGGCCAGGAAGGCATATGCACCGATCCTGGGTCAAAAATGGGCCTTGCCAGGATCGGTGCATGTGCATAGTTCTCTTCGCCCGATTCTTCGGCCCTCGCAGGGCCGTCCTGCGAGCTTCTCGGGAGACTCCGCAGTGCATGCAGGCCGTGGTGCGTCCTCTTCTGGGGCCCCCTTCGGCAGTCTCCTGCGCCCCATCTGGGGACCCCTTTTGGAAGCCCACTGAGCGCAGTCCTCGAACATTCCAGGGACCATCTTGGGGCGCTCGAGGCCCTCTGGGAGCCATACTGGATCGAGTGGCGCGGAACCACAGACAGGTGCAAACATCGAGTGCGTGCTTCAATTTCTCAGCTGATCTGGGCGTCATGGAGGTCCTCTTGGCTGGAGGCCTCCTGACTAGGGTCTGAGTAAGTGGGGTTAGAGAAAGCAGACCGCATCGCCGATGCATCGGCGAGGTCGGCGATGCATTCGGGCTCCGCATCGAGCCGCATCGCCGATGCGTGGGAGATGCGGTGCGATTACTCCGACCCCATCTACTCGGACCCGAATTAGGAATCCTCCAGCCAAGAGGTCTCCTATACCGCCTGAATAAGCCAAGAATTTCCCCGATCTGCTTGCACGTAAGGGGTCCGAGCGGAGGCGCAAAACATTTGGCGAAAAGACATAGGCGATTTCGGTGGGCGGCCGGGTTCCCGGGTTCCTGCTTCCGGGTTCCTGGGTTCCCGGTTGCCGGTTTCGGACCGATTTCGGTGGGCGGCGGGGTTCCCGGGTTTCCAGGTTCCTGGGTTCTTGGTCGATCTCTTTATCGATCGGTGTCGCCATCGATCTCACTACCCACCTCTCTACTAATCACACAACCGACCCCACTAAGATAGCACGAGCGATCTCACGATCGATATCACTATCGATCTCACTGAATCGACTTCGCGATCGGTCTCACGATCGACCTTCGTCCTTGCTATCGATCCCATTATCGGTCTCACTATCGATCTCACATTCTGTCTCAATATCCATATCACGAATGTTCACAACATCCACTGATGATTGGTTATTCTCTGGTGTGAAGAACTCACACGATGTTTGCGGTTGTTTGTGGTTCCGCACTTCTCGATCCAATATGACTCCCAGAGGGCCTCGAGCGCCCCGGGATGGTCCGTGACGTGTGGGAGGCCTGGAGGTATGGGGGGGCCCATCGGACGAGACGGATGCCGGGACAGGACTTGCCTCAGGACACTTCGTCACGCCCCAGGACTTCGAGTTGCAATCGAGGCCCTCGCAGCCCGTGTCGGGCATCTTGGCTTGCATCCCAAAATCGCGCACCCCCTGACACGACTGCGCCTCCCCGCGAAGGCCAACAAGCATTAAGTCGGGCGTGTCCCCCTACAGGGGGATCTTCTATGAAAAATGCAAAATACTCACGAATATTCCAAAACGGTCAAACAATTATTACAAAAATTGACCCAGACTATTTTTTGATTATGTTTGAACATTCCCCCTGTAGAGGGACAGGCCCCACTTAAAACAAACAACAGGCGAGCCCGCACGCAGACCGCCTTGGCTCTGTCCAGCAAAGCGCAAAATCCATGCGGGACGATTGGGATACAGTCAACCCGCAGAGCAAGGATGCGCGATAAGGATGCAAGGCCCTTGGACGCCCATCTCGAAGCGTTTCGAGCGGGGCGCGGCCAACGAGAGTGTCCAAGGATGGACCCAGGAAGCAAGGATGCAAGGGTACCCTTGGGAGGGATGCCTATCCTTACTCTGCGGGTCGACTGTACCTGGGTGTGAGAGCGCATCGTTACCGTAACCTCTTGAGCCTCTGACTCCCTCCTCCCTGCCAGGCGGCCCAAGGAGGAGCAGGAGATCCACCCCCCACTGCGCGCCTGTTCCATACCCATCCTCGCCCTCGGGGAGGTCGACCTGCCACAGCCACGCCGCGGTGTTGTCCTCGGGGACAGGGGGGGCACACCGCCGCTGTTTGTGGTGTCCCTCCTTCGTCTCCTCGACGGAGGGGAAACAAAGATAAACGATGGAAGATGGGCATACACAGAAACTTTCGGGTTCCTTTCTTTCGGGTAGCAACGCAAGGGGGGTCCAACCGCCGACCAAGGAAAAATCCGCGCGGAACTGCGACAAATAAGGTTCCGGTCGTTCTTCTCTTACTAGACGAGTCAGGAAAAATGATATACACACGTATAAAATGTACACATACACCCATAAGTATATATAAATAAATACTAGAACAATCTCGCGCGCTTCGCGCGCTCACGTTCTGGTTAGGATAATCATCATCGTCAGCATCGTCATCCTCATGCCCACCATCTTCATCGTCATCGTCATGGTCATGTTCACCATCACCATCACAACCATCATCGTTACCACCACCATCATCAGTATCGTCATCACTATCGCCATCATTGTCACCTTCATTATCATCATGACCATCATCACCATCATTACCATCATCATCATCATCATCATCATCATCATCATCATCATCATCATCATCATCATCATCATCATCATCATCAGCATCAGCAACAGCAACAGCAACAGCAACAGCAACAGCAACAGCATCATCATCATCATCATCATCACCATCATCATGATCATCATCATCAATATCATCAGTATCATCAGCAACCACGATCGCCATCATCATCAGCATCATCAACATCAACATCATCATCAACATCATCCGCATCATCAACATCTTCTTCGTCCGCGGCGTCGTCGTCGGCAGAATCATCGTCATCATCATCGTCATCGCCGTCATCATCCCTGGTCTACTGCAGTCCCCCCTCCTCCTCTTTCCCGTTTTATCTCCCCATCCCTCCGCCTATCGCGACACACCCTTCACACGGCTCTATTAGGAGCCGTTTGGGGGCGTCGTGGAAGCGTCTTGGGGACCATTTTGAGGCCATCTTGGACCATCTTGGCGGCCTCCAGGGCCGTCTTCAGGCCATCCCGTGTCGTTTTGGAGCCGTCGTGGGGGCCTCTGGAGCGCTCTTGAAGCTATCCTGGCGGCGTTTCCTCATGGAAGCATCTGGAGAGTTCGTTCGGATCTCGTCTCTCGGGGGCTTCCCTGAAGCAGCTCCGAGGCCTCTTGGGGCCCGTTTCGGTGCCTGTTCGGGGCCGTTTTGGGGGCCTCTTGGGGGCCTTTTGGGAGCCTCGTGGGTCCTCTTGGGGGCCTCCCCAGAGCTTCTGGGAGCCTCCTGGGGGCCTCTTGGGGCCGAGGGCCCGAAAAGTCTGGTTGGATCCCCGGTCTGGGCCCCTCCTTAGAGGTGTCTTGGGGCCCGCCGTCTTGGGGCCCTCTCTAGCCATCTTGCGGCCGTCTTGGGGTCCTCTTGGGCCGTCTTGGGGCGGCCTTTGGGGCCTCTTGGTGCGTCTTGCAGCGTCGGGGAGCCAAAAAGGCGAGAACCCCAAAAACATGCAAACAGCATCGAACAAACCAACAATGTTTGTCTCTTTCTGCCCTCCTGGGAAAACTCTTGGAGGCCCCTTGGGGCGTCATGGAGGCCTCTCGGGCCGTCCTGGGCGTCTTGGAGTGATCTTTGGCCGTCTCGGGGCCCTCTTGGATCATCTTTGTGGCCTCCTGGGGCCGTCTTGGAGGCCTTTTGGGCGTCTTGAGGCCCATTTGATGCGCCGGGGAAGGGTTATCAAAAAGGGGGGGCGATGTCACGGAGGTGGGGGGGCGTTCTTCGGCGGGGTGGGGGCGGTATATATTTAGTCTTATTTTGTTACTATAATTATTGTAATTATTATTAGTAATAATATTAAAATTATAATGTGTATTTACAGTGGTTATATGTCCGCCAGCGTGGTCCCACCCAGCGTGCTTCTAGCAATCTATGTGGTGCAGGACAGATGATGCACCCGACGCTGTGCAATATGTAGAAGCTGGTGTGTCAAAAATGTTGTGCGATCTATGTGGTGCAACCGACGTGGTATAATATAAGTGGCCAATCTATGTTTTACAAAATGAATGGTGAAGTAGATGTTGTGCATCCTATGTGGTGCAAAACATGTGGAACATCTTCGAAGTGCGATCTACATGGTGCACTACACATGCAGTCCAGTCGATGTGATGCAACGAACGTGGAGCGATACATGCCATGTCATGTGGTGCAAGCTATGTGGTGCAATCGATGTGGTGCAACTTATGCGGAACAATTTCGGTGGGGCAATCCATTACGCGCAACGCACGTTGTGCAATATATGAGGTGCAATATGTGTGGTATCTATGTGGTACAATCTGCGGCGGGCGGCGATGACCCGGCGACGAATCGGCGACGTCGGCAACAAGGCGGCGGACCCGACAAACAAACCCAAACCACGGGCGGCGACGGGACGGCGACGGGGGCAACAAGGCGGCGGATCCGACAAACGAGCCCAAAGGACGGGCGGCGACGAGGCGTTGACGGGGCCAACTAATCGGCCGACCTGGCAAAGACCCCCCATTGCCTAGACGACAAGGAAAAACCGCTAAGTACAAACACTTCTCGGGGACTAGATTTGTCTACACACATATAAATATATATGTGTATATATATGTATTTATCTATATATATACATATATATGTATAATCGACGGCGGCGAGACTAAAGTCGACCCCCCCCTTTGTACCCCCTCAATGTTTAATCCCCGCTTGCGGATTGAATTGTGGAGGTAGGCGTGGAGGCCAAACTTAATAATCCACGGGGGAAGTTGCGAATCGAAGGTGCTGTCATCTCAAATTGATGAGCGAAAGCATCAAAGACGCTGAACATGGCCATGGTGGTCTCACCACACCAGCGTTTACTTCGAGAGCGTGTGGCAGGGCTGTGGGACTCTCGTCAGTGCAGTTTGCCCAAGCTACGAACGCGCGGCAGGGCCATGGTATTCTCACTTTCTCAGCCGTTCCCGAATCAGAAACGCGTTGCAGGGCCGTGGGGACCGACAAGGGAAGGGAAGGCGGGAAGGCGACGAAGGAAGAAAGGAGGAGGAGAGCGGCGGAAAAAAGCGGACGAGGGAGGCGAGAGGGAAAACAACGGAAGACGGGAAGAGGAAAGGAGGAGGGACCACCGATGAGGATTGGGAAAGGGACAAAGCAAGGAAGACAAAGGCAGGGCGGATGGGGATAAAGGATGGGGCCTGCGCAGACCTGGGAGGACATACCAGTGACGTGAAGAAGAAGAGGGAACTGTTGGCGACAACGAGTACGATAGTGATGATGGAAGCAAATGAAATCGTACTTGAATGAACGCTGCTGGCTCGATGTGAACCTCCGCAAACATAAGATACAACGTTACTGGGCCGCCGCATGTTCATCACGGGCAATGGCAGCGTCGGCGCGCAAGCCGGCGCGCGCGAAGCGCACTGGAGAAAGTTCGACAAATGCGAACGACGAAGCGCGCACGAACGGCCCCGAAGCGGACGCAATCGTAGCGATTCGGCGCCGTTCGCTACGACGCCATCGCTGGTTGCGCCAGCTTGACACAAGCATGCGCGAGAGACTGCCGCGCCATATCCACGCTAACCGCGCATTGCAAAATACCGGCCGCAAGGAAACAAACACGCGCAAACATGTACGAGAGCACAGGCGGTGTCAGCTGGATGTTTGGCTCCGTTTCTGTTCGTATTACACTTTGGGGGGATCATTTTTCGCCTGGGCCTTTTCACATCCACATCATCCGTATTCACATCGTTCTTGTTAACAACAACGGCCGCAGGGCGTCCTGCACGCTGCCCTCGTCGGGCTCCCGGTCCCAGGGCGGCGCCCGCCCTTGGACCCTCGGCACCTCCACCTCGGGCTTGGGTATGTCCTGCCGCGCGCAGGGGCCGCGTCGGAGGGGGGGAGGGACGAGCACAAGCAGGAGGGCAAGGGGAGGAGGGAGGAGCGGGAAACGGGGAGGAGGGGGAGAGGGAGGGCGAGGGGGGAGGGCTGGATGAGAAGGGGGGAGGAGCGAGGAGACCACGACAACAGGGGATAGGAACGGGGAAAGGGGAATGTAATAGGAAAGGGGGGTGACTATGGGGCAGAGCGGAACACGTCCCCGCACTCTTGGGGTCTGCGCAAAACCAACCATCACGCTAGGCCCCGATGGGTCCTCCTTCTCCTTCCCCTCCTCCTTCACATCCTCCTTCCCCTCCTCGACATACTCTTCATCCTGATCCCATTGTTCGTCCTGCTATTCCTGTTCCTCGTGCAGGACATCCTCGAGGGTGCTGCGCCCGCGGGGAGGAGGGCGCAATTCGCGGCGCATCATGGATACCGATCAGGCGGTAACGGAGGGCATGATGCAACTCGCCAACCCCGAGCCCCCTGCAGAAAGGGATGATGCATGATGAGCACCTTGACAGCATGCCCAGGGAACACGAATGTAACGCCCCTGCGACTGTTAAAAGCGACGCTGCTCGTCATGATTGTTCACGGAAGCCCAGCCATAAGATAGGATATCGGCCTGGGTCTATGCCGCTTGCCTTCTGCGCGTAGCAGGCGGGGATTCGGTTAACAAGCACATGTCCTGGACGGAGAGAAAGGGATACATATATATAGAGAGAGAGAGAGACAAAGAGAAAGAGAGAGAGAGAGAAAGAGAGCGAAGCATGCAAACATCATAGCAAAGATGACAACGATAATAATTCAGGACAGGACGTGTGTATACATCTATATATATATATATATATGTGTAACTATGTATGTGTGTAAATATAGATGTATATATATATACATACATACATACATATTTGCATACACGTATTCCAGGACAACGTTTGCACTTAAAACTTCGTACCACAATCCCACGGAATTGGGCCGATTTGCCGCTCTGGCGGCCGTGTTGCCGCCGTCGCCGCCCTATCGCCACCCGTCGTCTGGGCCGCCGTTCCTCCCTGTCAGCAAATTATGATGACGCCGTCGTCACCCCATACAGTTGGGGCCCGACCACAAGACACCTTCCACAAGAAACCCAGCCATGAACCCCAGGGTGTCCATTGATTTTTGGTGTGGGAGCGTCACGCTTTCCATAGCAAAACCATCGGCACTCAAGAAACCCAGGGCATCCTGGAGGCAAGTAAGGTGCTTCTTGGCAAAGGCCTCCACTGTATCCCATCACCGTCCGTCGTTTGGGCCCGGGTGCCGCTCCGGCGGTACAGTGCCGCCGCCACCGCCGCGCCGCTGCCACGCCGCTGCCTTGTCGTCTGTGCACGATTGTGGCTCGGGCACAAATGCGTGGCCGCAATTGCCGTTCCGTCGCCGCCTCCACGTGTGGTGCCTCATTGCTTTCCATACGTCCTCCTTCCCAGGAAAGCCCAGAATCGAATCGATAGATCGGCGGAAATCGTGAGCCGAGTCGGGAGAAGTCGAATCGGCGAAAATCGGCAGGCTAGTATGTACCCAAAAGGAAATCGAAATCAAAATCGGAATCCGAAGTCGAATCGAATCGGAGTCGGAAGCCGTCGAAATCGAATCGAACCGAA